TGAACATTATTTTCTAACGTTCAACATGCCTCCCAAAGCAAGCGGTAAAGCAGCAAAGAAAGGCGGTAAGGCTAAGGCCGCCGCTCGTGGTGGTGACAAGAAGAAGAGAAGGAGGGGGAGGAAAGAATCCTACGGTATCTACATCTACAAGGTGTTGAAGCAAGTTCACCCAGACACCGGTGTCTCTTCCAAAGCCATGTCCATCATGAACAGCTTCGTCAACGATATCTTCGAGCGTATCGCATCAGAAGCTTCCCGTTTGGCTCACTACAACAAGCGTAGAACCATCACCAGCAGAGAGATCCAGACCGCCGTCCGTCTTTTGTTGCCTGGTGAGCTTGCTAAGCACGCCGTCAGTGAAGGCACCAAAGCCGTCACGAAGTACACCAGCTCCAAGTAAATCGTATGCCTAGCGTACACAAACCAAACGGCCCTTTTCAGGGCCACCACATCCTCCAAAAAGAGAACTACCGTAACGCTTTCTACTGTACTTTATTGACCCATGGAGCTAATTCTTATTTTAGCTCCATGAATTGATTGACCATTCTTTTCACAGTAAATATTACGAGTACATAGTTTATAGTAATTAATATAGTTCCATCCACAAGTCGCACACTGAATATATTAGTAATTAAATAGCGTAGCGTTACTACTCAGTAGAGCATTAGTGCATTCCTTCAGGGCTATAGTGAATGATTTGAATTTTATTAAAATCGAGATATTCGTTGAGTCTCAGTATGTAAGCACGCCACCAACGGCGCCACCAAGTCATCCGGCGCTTTCAGAAGACCGTGACGAATTATAGAAGCGATCACGACAAAAGCAGAAGGGCTCAATTGCAGTATATGAAAATACTGGTACAGACTAAACACACTGCCAATAAAAGCATGTTTTACAAATAATAAAAAAGAAAATATTAAAAACAATACAATTCAACACAATATTGAAAACATCGTGAGGAAATTTGAAATTCAAAAGATAAAGTGAACACATGAAAACCGAATGTAAATTTGATCATACTTGGAGACACGAAATAGCTGAAAAGTATTACCATCTAAACTAAGATATCCAATAACTTGATCCAAAAATAATACACAAGGACACTTTCAATACCACTTATTCGGACACTGGTCAGGCGTAGTTTTAGACTAGGTTCCAGGCAACTGTGTTTCATGGTCTTTCGACGAGAGTCTGGGGAAACTTGTGTCTGTCAGTCATTTAGTGTTCCTGTTTAAAATGACCACAGAGGACAGTATTCTAAACAAAAACGGCAAGACATACGCGAAAAGAAGAGTGATTAAAATCGAATCTATGGAAGTTCATAATCATATCTGTGAGTGAAACTGCTCACTAATGATTACATGGAAAGATTACAAGTTGTTTTGAGGTGCAAATGCTCCTTCTGCACATGTACCTTATCGTGTGCAGATTTTCTATTTTCATCTCTCACTTTTATGATCTGTTAATATAATTATGTATACACATCATGGACATGGGCATATTACTAGTACTGTAACGTTACAATTTCCACAAATAATCCCTGAAGTTAACATGTTTTTACTCGAAAACTGTTAAATCATAGGTGATCTTTTATCAAATATAAAAAGATTGTCTATTTGGCAACTTATTATTAAAACAAATTAGGATTTTGAAAAATATCGAAACCTTATTGATTTATCTTTTAATCATTCATGATATCGTTGACATTTTATTTCCACTTTTACTCTCTATGTTTTTGAAATCTGCGTTTACATTTACAAAATTTCTGGACCTTTTAAAAAAAAAAAAAATTGATAACAAAATGTGATCAAGAAAAAAAACAAAAACAAAAACTTTAGTTTATACCAGTAAACTAGTGACCCCATACTTGTAGTATAATGGGCGGTCTGGAAGTTCTGTGGGGGTATTCTTTTCTGATGTGACGATTTTCTCACATTTTACAACGAGCCCTATCTTCCATATAAATACTGTAGGTATAACAACAACTATTTGGTGACAGCTAATTTAGGTCACAGCGAGGTCAAAGTTGAGCCGAGTCTCATCTCAGATACAAGTTCCACGCTGGTAATCGAAGAACTGAAGTTGGGCATACCACTACGTACTAGACAGGTAGTTACGTAATTTAAAATATAATCAATTTTACCAGTTTTGTATGACTAATTCGAGATGAAATTATGCAGAAATCAACAACGACGAAACAGTGGGAGGAAGAATCTAACTGAGACTCGAGCACTCCAATCGACCTCTGAAACACGCCCCCTTCGGAACGGCGTCAAGAAATAAACATATTATTGCTTATTTGCCTAAATTGTCTTTTTATATCAGAATGCCATATAACTTTCAAACTCGTGTTGATTTGATTATTTACGACAGAAATGATGAAATGTGTCGAACTCGTTGGTGCTTTCCCAAAACAATTGGCGCACAGAACTGATCGGCCTAAACCTGATCTACCACCAGAGGGCGCTATTATCAAGGTGGGTATGACACGAGCGTATGACAATCGTACTCGCTCATAATTGAAATTTAATCATTTTAGAAACATAACATTCATTAATTTATTTACATTGTATATTTACATATATAACTGCATATCATATCAGAGATTTTCATGAAAATATGAATGTTTTTTATGGAAATTTATAAAATATTAATAAACATTTACTGGTAGACTCCCAAATCCAACGATTATTCTTTCATTGTCTATAGAAGCCATTTAGGAATGCTAATTACCCATGAGTCTTTGCAGGGTTACTTCAATCCTCGGCAATTAACTGCCATTCATCCATTAACATGTAATTAGTCAAGTTGTTTTCACTCGTCATTTGCAGTTTATAAAACATTTATATATTAAATATTGTATTAAAAAAATATTCATAAAATTCACCGTATTTACATATACAATTGCATATTGTTATACATTGTTATGTCAAAATGTTTTTATAATTTATATATGTATAGGTTTGGTACTGTGGAATGTGTCATACTGATGCCCATATGTGGGTGAGTCCTTGCGAAATACCAGTAATACTTGGTTAGTTTTATGAGGGTCAAAAATAAAACAATTTATTTTTGGTCAGTGCAGTTTTTTTCTGGATTCTTTCACTCTATATTAAAACCTTATAGCATGTGCGTTCTTGCTAAAAAATAATAGGCACCTAGGGCTGGCAGCACATTGGCAAACCATACCCCCTATTGCGGACGCAATGTAAATTTAGTATCCCCTAGAGCAGACATATTGAAGAAAAAAACACCCCCTCTTTCAGACACATATTGAGAACATCCTACCCCATATTGCAAGCATTCTCTGCCGTTTTTCACTGAATACAGTTCAATTTTTATTATGTGTGTTATCCTGTTTCTTTTCGTTTTGTTTCTTCGATTACAATAAGCCTTTTTCGTATGCTCGTGTTGGAAGTGGCGGGTAAGTCCCAGTGGGAAAGTTCAGGCGGACGTTTGCGGCCTAGTCGGGGCTATGGGTCCGCCAATTCGGGGCCTAGGGCGGTGTATGAGAGTGGTTGTTGTAAGAGCGGGCCTACAGTGGACGCAGCAACCCTGTGAGTTTATTTCTGAGGGCCTATTGCAGACATTAGCATTTTGAAGGGGGCCTATTTGCCTCCCGTGCGGGCCCGCTCTGAAAGGTGAAAAACACCCCGCTTTCCCGCTAAATTTGGAACGCACATAGGGTAGTAGCAGCATATCGAGTGAACCCCCGGGATTTGAACATCTCTGAACAAAAACAAATCTGTTTTTCAACCTAATGTAGGGTGTATTTAAAGGGGAAGCTGTTAATCCCAGGGATTGCACCGGGGAATCACGGGATACCATTGTTATATTGTTTACACTTCCATTTGTTTTACATTGTAATCTTAAGTAAAGTTGATGGGAGATTAGGTTAGGCTTAACGGAAGGCTGCAGATGCAGACTGAAGACAATATCGAAAACATGATTTAAAAAATATCAGAAGACTAAAGACATACATGATTATTTTTCCAAATGAACATTATCTACATTTTGGTTAGTTTGCCTAATCATTGTGCAAATTTTACAGACACTCATAATAAAGTGTTACAACTCCCACATAACAGACCGATTAATGTTTGTAAAAAGTTATTAATACTAAAATTAATGGATAATCTGACACCACATTTCACAGCCAAAGCCCCTTTAGTCTTCAGGACCACATGCCTCTATTTTAGCCTTAACATTGTAAACCTACTTTTTAGCATTCAGGATGTAAACCTCCACTTTAGCCTTCTGGACTATAAGCCTTCATTTAGCCTTCACAATTGTAAGCCTTTATTTTAGTCTTCAAGACTGTAAACCTTCATTTTAGCTTGACTATAAGCCTCCATTTTAGCCTTCACAACTGTAAGCTTTTATTTTAGTCTTCAAGACTGTAATCTCCATTGTAGCTTTGAAGACTATATGGCTTCACAATTCCTAGAGGTCGTGACTTAACATGTGTTATTTGTTCAACCAGGCCATGAAGTCTGTGGAGAGATAGAATCAATTGGAGATGATGGGGCCAATCCAGATGGTTTGCGTAAAGGTGATAAAGTGATCGTTTATCCCTGGATTGCGTGCGGCAAATGTAAAGCCTGCGATAAAGGAAATGCTGAATATTGTGAACTGAAGCCAGAAGAGCAGATTGAGATTGGTATCACTCTGGATGGAGGGTAGGTAGCATTTGATAATTAATACCTCGTTATGCATAAAGCACAATTATCTAATTAATGACTGTTTAAACATTAATCACAGTAATATTTATTTCTGCAAGCCTATACTCAGCTGAAAAACCTGTTTTCCCAATTTTTGTGCCAATATAATAACCCCCCCCCCCAATGATTGTTTATGATCAGCATGTGTGTCCATTCAAACAAGACTGAGCCACTCACTTCTGTTTTCTGCTTAAATATTTCAAAAAAAAAGCAAATCAGCCACAAAAAAAACAAGAAAATAATTTATGTACGTATGAGAAAATTTGTTTTTGTTATAGACTAAGTGTATAATTTCAAAATACATACACATCAGTTTGATAAATATTTGATCTAAGTAGAGGTTCAGTTTCGGTTTTGATTCTCATATTCAGGCTGTTATTTATAGTACAAGTCATTTTCCTACATCAATGAGTGGATGAATACAAATTTGATAGTCGTTTGGTCAGATATTTAGTTCAGAGTCACTACCTTCAACAGACTGATGTACACTGTCCACATTCACCAAGCACATCAACAAATATAAATGTGGTTGCCTGATCATTGGTAGTGTAAACCTAGGGAATATCAACCAATAACAGTGAAGTCTCTGCATGAATCCCTAGCATGTCTTCACAGATAAACATTCATAATTATTGTGATCCAGATTTAAGACTTGTTTCCTCGTATAGATATGCAGAGTATGTGGCAGTCCGTAATTTGATGTATTTGGTGCCGGTACCGGATGCTATACCAATGGAAATTGCTGGTACACTGGCTTGTGGCATGTTGACGGCATACCATACAATACAGGTAGCTAGTAAAGAAATTGAAGACATACTACAATCCAAAGGTAGGTACATGGGAGGGGGTATTGTTATTTTCAGCTAGAAGGTTATGTTTGTATCCGAAATAGAGTGTGATGTGTTGAAGCTATGATTGGTTAACTTTTTAACACCTTTGTCATCATTTGTCCAATCACTGGTATTATAATGGTTGGTGGGTTCCAAATCCTACCTGGGGGTTGAACCCTGAAAAGGGGTTGACTTGTGAATGTGTCACTGACTCAACAGGGAAGCTGATGACAAGATTCTGTCAGTATAAAGGTCTTTGGGGAATCTTAGGTAATGCTTGAGTTCAACCGGGCCTGGTTGATGCCAAGATAGCGCGATAAATTACCATAATGTCATTTTAATTTTGTCTCGCACAACCGTGTTATGTATAATTTGTGTGACAAAATGCAATGTATGTGACAGTGGCGTTTGCAATAAAACTAAAAAATATTGAAAAAAGATCATTTGCTTCACCAAATTTTGATCATAACTGATAGTTGGAAACAAACCTGCAATTGTACTGATTTTTATGGAATTCTCACTTAATTTAAATTTTCATTTTGCATTACTTGTTACTGTAATGGATGTTTCTGTCATGTTTTTTTATTAGATAATTGTGGTATTTTAATCATTGGTGCCGGTGGACTAGGACTGTCAGCAGTGAAGCTAGCAAAGTATTTAATATTGTCTAAATATAAAAATGTTCAAGTGATGTGCTCGGATATCAATGTAAGTTGTAAAATAAAACTCTTCATTTTTGGATTAGTTTAAATTTGACTAGTATCATTAGAAGCTCATCATTTTCCATCTAGCAAACACTGTTTTACTGAAGAACACTTCTTACTGTATTTGCTCTATTAGTTGCACATGCACTTATGTTAATTACAGAAGTGTTTCTATAGTTACAATGGGTAACATTTTGATGATGAATAAATAATATTTTTAACAGATTATATTCTCAGGGACCACAGACTACATATTAAGGTTGTTGCTGTGAATGACTTTTACACACCATGTCACTCTTCACCTAAGTGGTTTTCCATTTGAGGTTTGGAAGGCGTAGCTGACAAAATATATTCACAGTTTTTTTTTGAATTCTTTCATTATGTGAATTTTCATTTTATTCTCCTCATCCTCAACACTGTTTTTTTCTCAAAATAATTCTGTAGGCCACCCCAATTTTTAAAATGGGGAACCCCTTACTGGGGTGTATTGTGGCTTGCATGCATCTCCTGTCGATACACTTCTTCTAATAGAGCAAATATGGTACACAATTCATTTTCTCAAATCTTAAAATATCAAATATACAGTCATACATTTTGTTTGGAAATAAAAGCATTAAGTCTAAATTCAAGTCAATTATCTATTCTATTTCTTTTCACCAAAAATGTTTTCTTTAATTTTTTTTAACTCCAATGTTAATTATTTCAGTGAAAAAATCAGATTTTGTTAGAAACTACTTTGATGCAGCCGTTAACATTTAACCCTTAGCTTGCCACCTCCATGTAATTTCACATTAATCTGACCAGATAAAGATTAATGTTAAATCTTATGTATAAACCGGCTAATACCCTAAATCATTGAGTTATCGTGTATTTGTAATTAACAGAAAAATAAACTGGCTCTAGCGATGGACGCTGGATGTGATGATGTCATCCATTGGTCTCAAGATGAGAATGCAGATGAGTGGGTACGCAAGACCAAAGCGGCTTTTGTTGGTGGTGGTCCATTTATTGTTATAGATTTCACTGGTAGTAAAGATACGTTTGATGTTGCGTACAAGTCACTCAGAAAGGTAAATATGGCACCACGATAACTGTTATTGACCGATCGTCCTCCATTTGTACCAGGAATTGTAATATAAAGAAATAAAAGTGATTCAATTTTGAGTAGTATTACTATGAAGCCAAAAGAAGTCTTCTTAAATGCAATTTTTTTTATTCATTTTCTGTATTTCAACTAATGATTCGTCAGGAAAACCACAACAGCGCCCTCTATAGTTTGATCCCTGTTATACACATTTCCTTTTACACATGTAACAATTCTCTTGATTGCCATATATAACATACTGCTTGTACACTTACTAGAACAATGAAACAGCTACATAATTAGTTTTTAGACAGTCTCATATTTAAAACTTTCAACTATGTTTGAATACATCTACAACTTTTGGTTAGATGCCTTCAATAGATGTCAGTGTTAGATACTTGGTTAGATGCAATGTGTCTTTATTGACAGTATTCATAACACATGGTCATACTATTCGTCTTCCATAGCACGGTACCATCCTATGCATTGGATTACATGGTGGTGTTGTGGACTTGCCATTGGAGTCAATTATTTTAAATAGCATCACTGTGAAAGGAGTCTATGTAGGAACACTCTCCCAACTCAGAGAACTGACCAAAATAGTTGCTGATGGCAAGGTAATCTTATAGAAATGTTTTTGTTATTTGTTAATCAGGACATTTGCTCATTCAGATTTGGAGAGTATGTTAATAATTTTATAAATTGTGCATGCATTGTTGTGAGATGGCCATGAAACAATTTTCTGAAAAAATAGGAGGTATCGCTGTTTCTGGATGATATTGTTTTCAGTACGAGTTGTACAACCTATGCATATATGTGAGCTATCCTATATCATTATTAACCTTAAAAGTGTATTGTCAGAAAAAGTTATTCTTGAAAGCTTTGAGATGTCAAGTATTGGTATTATGTCAACATATACATACAACAGCCATGGTATTTGCAAGATATTTACATCAGAAGTTTCATGTCAATAAACATAATTACTAAGGGATGATGTCAAAAAATCGATGTCGGATAAAAAACTTATTTGCTTTAGTTTGGGGGGGGGGGGGGTTGACCTCAAAAAAATTCCATCCTACAAAAACGATTTTATTTTTCAAAAAAATCTTGGAGTATTTATAGTTCGTTTTTTATTTTCTATCCATTCATGAACAAGAATAACCGAAAATGAAAAAAACAAACATCCAAGACGAGAAAATGGCTTGGTCTGAGTGTAAATTTGTGCATCAAATGAGGTCAATTTCAGGGATATTCCATACTACTGTCCAATTATCAATTTGTATTTAATGGTGAATGTAGTCTGACACCATAATCAATATTTATCAATTAAGTTTCAGTGGAGGGTGGGGGGTTTGGAAAAAAACTAAAGGAATTAAGTTTTTTATCCGACATCGATCTTTTGACGTCGTCCCTAAGCATTCTGTGGATTTGGTCAGGATTAAGTTTTCAGCATCTTAGGGTGTCACTGAATTGCAAACAGGATTCTCTATTTGACGACCATACATGTATTTGATGTGAAGCATTTTCTATTAAGATCAGTCTGAAATGCACACCAGACTCTTGTAGTGTTTCTTGTACAGACATTACAGTACAGTCACTCCCTCCCTTTTGAATTTATAAGACGCCTATTTTATTTGTGTTACCACTGTGTCCAAGCAAACTTCAATAATAGAACATTACATAAATGCTAGGTTATGTTGAGTTAGCACGCATCCAAAGTAGAATTTGAACATCAATGCATGACAAGATTTATTGTTGTGAAGACAAAAAATAACTTAGTTGGGAAACGACAAGTACGTCAGTTTTCAATCATGCAGTATAACTTGAGAACGCTGTAAATTTCATATTTGATTGTTGGCCAAGCTCAACCAAATTTTTCCTAGAACTTCTTTGTTTTCAAAATCTTTCCATTGCCTTTAATCCTTATCCTACCAGCCCCATGTACTTTAACATTGACTTGATAAAAGGGTTAAATCTATGAGCTATGTATGTATAAGCTTTTCACTGTTATTAATCTCAAGAGACTTTCTTTGTTTTTCACGATGCATTGCTGTATTAGTCCTCTCCATTTCAGTATACATATGCAGCTTTAAAATTTTATTAAGCTTTAAACTTTTCTTGTTTGCTTTTCAAGAATTCTCCATTGCCGTATACAATGTTTACATTTGTTGCAGCTTTCCACTGTTAGTAACCTCAAAATTGTCTATGTTTTTTTCAAGATCCCTCCATTGCCGTACACACTACATAAACTTGAAGAAGCCCCAGATCTCATCTGTAAACTGAAAACCAATCAGATTACAACAGGAAGGGCTATCTTGTCACTGAAGCAATAGAGGTAGTTATGCTGGCATATGTAGTGTAGCAGTGAAAAGGATTGACATCTACACCTAGAAATGTAGTTTTGAAACATTCACATTTTCTGAGACAACATATTAGAAAATGTTAATATGATATAAAATCAATGCTGAACAATTTTAGCAATCCGGGTACTGCATCTGTTCTATTTGTGAGTGAGTGCGCCCTCTATATTCTGTTGGCAGTTATTTTTTCTCTGAATAACCACAATATGCTATGAGGATGAGGTATTTTTCCTTTGGGGTAATTTTAATACATAAAATATTTTGCAGGAAGCGTTTTATACAAAACACAGAACATGAATAGATTACTGGACACATTGGCGGCAACAAAAATCCCCCCCTCAATATTTTGTCCATATGGACAGTAGAACGGCACTGTAGCTTTCAATATGTTCCAACAGGGTGATACAGAATAAATATGCTAATGATATGCAAATAAGTAACTCAATATGCACAACAATGTAATTACATTGTGGGCCAGCCATTTTTATGGAATCTAATTTGTGCATAATCAAACGCATTTTACAACAGTGTTGATACGTTTCAATTATTTATTAAACATCTCAAATAAAAATTCATTAAAAGTTTATACAGAATGGGATGGAATAATTATCACACCTATGGGATATAAAATAACTCTCTTTCCAATGTATAAAGGTTAATCAATTTACAAATTCAATCTATTATACAGTGCTGGTATTTACAATTTTCAAGAAATCCACCCTGAAATGAATGGAATAGTCCACAAAGACAAAGCAATAGACAGTACCATAATAATTAAAAAGGGAATGCACATTTGATGCAATCGTTTAACAACTGTAAATGCCATGAACAGATAATTCTTTGCTTTAAAAACAAAGATGACAAATAAATTTGGCATTTTGTAAATTACTTGAATTACAAGTAGGTGAGTCAGTGGACGGAGAAAGCACTTTTCAAGTTAGTATTACACACTATTGGACGGATTTGATAGGAAACATAAACTGAATTGAACTAATTTCTAATGACTCCAGAGTTGAATCAAATAAATTGGCAAAACCAGGAAATGTTTGTACAAAAAAAAAAAATTCTCATTTCTGAGATGAGAAATGTTTTTGATCAGTTATTTGTAACACCTTACCCAGTCACAAAGTAATTTAATAAAAAAAAACGCTGAATCACCACAACAACGCATGAATAAATAACACCATAGTACAATTAAAAGAATTTGGCACACCACCTGTTGTAAAATATATATAATGTCATGGTGAGGATGCATCCAAAGCACAGCACACAGTATCTGTGAATATTTAAGGCACACTTGATTTAATGTAATATTGACACGCTACAACAAAGCTATTTGGCATCAATTAAACAATTATGGAATGTGTAAACTTTTTTGGCAACTAATTTTGACTGACGAGGACACCCACTTAGTCATCCAGCTGACACAGCATAGCCACTCCTCTGTTAACCCAGTAATTTTGCGGCTTGTCTGACGGGAGTTGCAGGTACAGTACAAAGTTTGTTGAGTGTCCAGTCGTTGACAGAACGCCACGGCGAGCGCTAGTCTTGTATATTGGACAGGTGTATGTAGGCTTGGGTTCAAATTTGCTTACCTCACCCGGTCTTAACCATATCTGTGAAAGGAACTAGAATTAAGGAAAACGCTCGCTTGTACACACTGTATTGAATTTGAAGCAGCAATATCTGTGAGTCTGAACATTTTTTTGTTTAAATATGAATAATTACATTGTTCAAAAATTAAATTTGGACAATTAAATGGGAAACTGAAACCACAGCCAACATTCGGATATGCTGAATTCTCAGCAATTCACACAAATTCGGCCCATCAAAAATTTTGAATAAAGGTAGTCCCACAACACCAATATACAATATCCAATCACTGAGGTGCACAGACAGAAGAAACCCCTGCACAAGGGGAAACATGAGGACACAGACGCCACATACCTTCACCGACTCAAATGCTAGAAGAAAGAAAAGTCATTTTATGCAAAGGATACAATTGGCACAGGATCAAAGAGGATCTTGGGATTGGATTCTCCAAGCACTTTCTTCTCTCTGTCCCATCTACAACCTTCTAAGAACAGGCCCTACAAGACAAATTATCAACATAAAAACTTGCACAACACTGTCATCTTACAATGATCTTAACTCTTCTACACAAAAAATCTGCACAATATTTACTAGATTCAATTAGCAGTCTTATTCACCAGCACTGAAACATGGCCAACATCCACTCATTAACATTCATTAACAACACTTCTCAATTCACCTAATACATGAATCAGCTGATAGTCACATGACGGGTTCTTAGCCAATCGGATACTCACCTGGACAAAGGCTCCATCTTCAGGTTTGTAGTCCATGTCGTCTTCTTGGTCCATGACATCAAACTCAAAACCAAGGAAATCAATGGGAATAGTGTACTTACGGGCGTAGTTTTGGCTTACACCTGGAAAAGAGAGTAAGAGACAAGAAACGCAATGTCAATTAAGTTATCCCATTGATGATGTGATTTGATTTCACAATAAGATAATTTATCAGGGACGTTAAAACAAGCAAATGCTAAGTATTTGTAAAACATCACCCGAAACTCCTCATATAATCTAAACTTTTTGGCTACTCTACAAGAATATACAAACTACACTCAAAACTTACCAGTGAGGAAAGATTGGGTGAAATAGAACCCTGACAACCAGAATACGTTGGGTGCACCGTTCTCGATCCAATCATGGAAGAACTTTAATCTGTAACAGACAGCAAAATAATTACAATGTGTCAATAGTAATGTATCAGCATTTTTTTTTTTTAAATCACAAAGTTTCTTAAATGTTTCCTAAGTCTATTGTATCCTAATGACCTGTTGACCTGTGTGTGTGAAAGAAAATGTACTATTGACCTGAGAAATGACAGATACTCATAAAAAACACTGTACACCTCAAATCAGTATTGAACAAAAATTATGGATTTTATTTTCCATCCATTAACTACATTGATGACAAGAGAGCACATTTTCTGTCAAAACTAAACTCAGAAATGACATCACATACCTTGCAAGGAAGTCAGTGATGTAACTACCCAGTGGCTTTAGTGATGGATACGACTTTGCCATCCACATAGCAGGCACTTTACCAATCAACATGCTATCAAAGACATCTTCAAGTTCTGATGACATCACCACTAAACCTTTAATGGCTTTCTGTAAGTTTTGTAAACTTATTCGGATCACACTGATCAATCTGTTAAATCGAATCAGCTCTTGCCTCAACACAGTGTTCATGGATTCGTTGTACACCACTGGATACTTTCTTATAATCTGTAGGTATGAAATAAATATTAAGTTTTCTCTGTCAATTAATTAGTTTCCCCTCTTAATAAATATATTACACTCACCAATCTTACATAACGCATGTGATAACATAATGACCATTCACTGCAAGACTTACCATAGCAATATCAAAATCAGGCGGTATTTTAGATAAGATGTCAGCTGATAGGTCTTCAATGATTTCCTGGGAGGATTTACCTCCTCCTCCCGACTGCCTTGGCAACATCAATAAAATACTGTCAAACAGCTATTAATAAAATTAAAGAAAACACAATGAAGTTTAATTATGTTAAAGAAATTATGTCATATTTCATGTTGTCAATAAGGAAGAGTACCAAGATTTTACCGTCTGTGTTTCTTGATTATCTTTAGTGATGTCTGCATTCTCATGTAGTCCAAATACTTCTGGATGCGGTATAATTGGTAATGATCTTATATAGTCAATGTAACTCTGATGATTCCCGTGGACTGGAACGTAGTAGTCGCCACTCGCAGATAATCTATACATTGATGGAACAAACAAACAGCATTATTAAAGAGGCCCAATTCCATGGTTCAAGTTCAAGCAACATCTTCATACAAGAAAGCTATCCCAGCATTCAAATACTTCTATTACATATATCACTGCAGCTTTTCCCCAAATTTGACAAATTAACAATTGAATCTATATGAACCATGAAATGGTGATATAAAAATATGGAACAATAATTGATGATACATGTATATACAGAAATAATGTACAATTCCTACATCAATATCAACCATGATTAAACTGGGCAAAACAAAATAATTTGTGCTGTGCTATGTATAGCAATATTAATGTCTGAATAAATTGAACATGACAGCTTTAATTGAAAAGTACCTGTAGTAAATATAATGACTTTGTGAACACAACGACTCACTTGTATTTATCTGTGTTGACCAAGTCCATGACATAGAACTGATCCAGTAATGATATCAGCAATCGTCTGTCTTTATCATCAGTGACTCTGCCACCGTAGTTACATTCACCAGTCAGGTACAAAAGGGCATCCATGGGAACTTCAGCATAGTCATTGATGAACATCTACAAGAAACAAAATAATTGTGAATAAAGTAATTATCAACATCTATCTGTAATAATACTATATGAGAACTGTTGAGTCAATAACACTCTGATGTCTTACCACAAGTTGTTTCATACTGATTCTTAAGTCAGATTCGTTGAATTCATACGGAATATTCCAGCCCAATGGACCAAATTTTCTTCTCTCTTGAACCAATGCATGGAAGAAGCATAACCCAAACAACATCTTCTGCCATACCTCTGGCTGCAAGACAAAGACAATAATAATAATGGTTTGAATATGTGACAGTGGTATTATTTTTAAAATTCGAATTAAACGATTTACGTAATATGTGTATGTGAATATAAAATAACATGTCGAGAATTCTTTATAATTTGCATACATCACATAGAAAGACCAGCAAGGCTACACAACTGAAAGACAACGCCCTATCTGATTGGACAATAAGTCATCACATATTATGAATTGACCAATAGGTACTAGTGTCACATTAATATTCACTCTACCTTATTGCAACTTGAAAAGAATTCATTATCAGATATGGGATCATTAAGATAAGATCGCAGTAGATTAGCCCTCAATCCTTTGGGCGGTTCATTGGTCATCTTTACACCTAAACAAAAGACACAAATAAACATTACATTCACACTTGCTCTAAAACATTCCAACTCGTGGAAAAGTTTGTGATCAAATAATTCACTGTGTTTGAATATAGAACACTTGTATGATTTAATATTACACCATTTTTATAATTTCTTTGCTCAAAATCAGACTTCATTTTAAATCTGTATCCCATTTGGAAATTGTTGTGTAAACATCATTGGTAATGTTCTTAGGAATACTGCAATGTCTGATAGGGAGATAGCAGTTTTCCTGATCTGTTTAAATGCCTAATTAAACACAATAACCCATCATAGAATGTAGAAATCAAAGAACTTGTAACTAGACTATTACCAAGGTGCCTAACTGTGGGACACAGGTGTAAAGGTAAAACTTGCCATTTTGTAAAATTGACACTGGAAAGTCTTCTGAGGGATAACTAGTCAGCCAGAGACGGAAGTCAGTATGAGTGTTCTCTGGAATGATCACTTCCTCACAGATCTTTTCTAACTTTGACATCCAGCTGGTAGCCAAGTGACAGTTCTGTAGCACCACCCACGTTCCATCAACCAAGGCTTTGTCAATCATCTTGGATGCAATTGGACCTTGACCCTGTCCAAGCGAGATTGTCTGGATGCGATTTCCTCCTTGATTTTGGTCTTCGGCAAACTTCAAAAGCCCAGCCATGGGATCAGCACCAGGAGACAGAACAAAGATGAGAGGGGCGCAGCAGTTGGAGTCGGCAAAGCTCCCAGCTAGGTCAAAAGTTGGAGGCTCAATGAAACTCTGGCCCATGTTATTCACGATAAATTCCTGGACAGCTGGCACTATTTTGTCCGGTCTCAGGCAGCGGAGAACCGTCATTTTATCAAGGCCATCTATTGTATCCCAAGGCGCAGGATACTTAGCAATGTGTGGGTTGAGGTCATCATACACTTTCTTCCATGCATCTGTATTCTCTTGGAAGCCTGTATTCATTAAAATAAATATCACATTAACAACTAAATTGAATATAAAGAAATCTTCAGAAATTTGGGTATGAATATGCATATGGCATTTTTAAATATACCGACACTGTTGCTGCAGAAATGGAAAACTTACTATCCATAAATCCATTCAGAGCTGAAAGATTAGAGACTCTGACTATCTCCGACCACAACTTGTCTGTCAGCCAATCAGAACAAGGGTTTGGATGGGGATTATCTAAAGCCACTCCACCAGTTAACAGGAATCTCCATGTTTCATCATCTACTTTACCACTGAAAGAGATAACACAATGAAATATATCAGAAAACAATCTAAATATGATCATGCTGACATCTACTCAATGATGAGGAAAATATGAGCAATGATGATAATGAATGGATCTTGAACACTGGCTTTGACCTTCCCATTGAGTTGGTTGCATACCTACCATATAGAAGTTAACCCTCTTGGTAATGCTGCTGAAATGAAATATACCAGCCACAAAATTCATGCTCACTTTCATTTCAAATTCCAATACACAGACCATAATACATATATATGCTACTAATTAACATTCAACATACGAATCATAAATCATATACTTACTTTCCTTTCAAGATTCCAATGCAGAGCACAAATGAAAAGAGAAGTTTGTCTTTCTCAAACAAGGATCTACAAACGTTCCTGTAAATACTGTCTGTGAAGTGTTCATTCAGGTTTTCTATTCGCTCCTCAAGTTCTGACGACTTCTTACTGTTAATAATGGACTGAAAACAAAAAGAACAAACATCAGCACATTGTAATAATTAGCTTATAGGTGATAATTAGCAGCCCATTACTAATATCTTTAATTAGTCAGGATGGAGGTTTGCTGAAATAACATATCAACTACAGGTTTAGACTAAATATAAAACACTGACAATTTGTCTACAGCAATATGGAATGTATTTTTACCTGTAAGTAGAGGTTGATAAACCATGTGAGGGAATACTGGTACATTGGTTCAATGTTTGCCAAGTCAGATATACAGAAGAACAGTATAGCAGAATGCACAGCTACTGGTTCATACCCGTTACGGGTAGCATCAATCTCTGCTTCTGTGGCAGTCGCAATTTCCTGTATAGAAAGAAACAAACCAGTGATTACAGAGATGACAGTCTTTAATTCAAGATTGTGATTGTTTGATATAGTAATTAATTAATATAAAGACTTTGATGTCAATACCACAAAGTATACTCAAACGTCTATAATATATGTTAGCGTTCAAAGTGATCGCAGTGCTGTACTGTTTCTTTTTTTCATACTTTGAAGTATTTCCTAGAATACCATAAGACTAGACAGAATACAGTGATGAGCGTCCCATTCCTGAAACCAACAGCTACATTAAAAGTACTTTGTTGTGTTTACCTGTTTGGCGCTGATTTCCTCAGACAATGTCTTGGAAGAAGACAAGACCTGAATCGCAGTCTCATCTTCCAAGATATTCCCCTCGGACGATGACAAGACCTCTAAGATCTTGTCCTCAATTTCCTTGAGTTGTTTCTTGTTGGCAGCACTCTCCAGAATCAACTGGTTCTTCTTCTCTTCCAACTCCGGCTTTTCCTTGGCAGCGACAATTCCGAGCAACTGGTCTTGGAGACCCAGTGGAGTGATCATGAAATTCAGCAAGGTCACTTTAACAGAGATCTCAGGCAGGTAGTGGGGATTTCTCAGCCGTGTGGTAATATAGAATTTGAAGTCATGCGAATATTCAATTAGGTTTTCACCAAGACGTAAATACTAATTAAAAAAAAGACAAATAATGTTTTTAATTCTGCTACAGTTGGCTGCATTCTTGCTGTATCATCTGACACAAAGGTGCTGTAAAATTCCATTTAGGAATTAGACATTATCATATAGGAATTACAATCAGTCAAGTGACTTCACTAACAACTCATTAACAGTCTACCCACCTCCACACCCTGCTGTTTGAAGGTCTGTTTCAGCAACACAGGTTCCAAGATCGGATCCAACTCTTCACCAACATTTTCAAGCAATACTGGCGTACCAAACTGGATGGAGTTTTCCAAGGTTCTCACATAGTTGGCATCAGAAAGTTTGATGATGGAAAGTTTGTTGACCTTCTCCATGTTTTTCACCCATTTATTTGCCTGGCCTGAAATCCAATTTAAAACAGTTTTATTTAAAGTGGAAACAGTGATGTTCAGGTTCAGAAAAGTTTTCAAAACCCTGGCTCCTTGATCAGATAAAAGTCGAGCATAAAAATGTATTTTACAGGTTCCCTTTTTTTCGCACAGGATTCAGTTTAAGACAGGACCTTACCTTGTGGATCTATCATGAGGGGCCATCTTCTTGCATTATCCACAATAATACCATTGTCAATGGAGAAAGAATCCACAGGAAGACCAGCAATCTGCCAGGCACGGATCTTAACAGGCACACCCAGGGTTGAGTTCAGAGAAAATACATCAGAACAGGGAATCTTCATTTTTTGACACAATTCAAGCCACTCTGCTGTGGCTTTCTAAAAAAAAAAAATAAATAGATCATAGAGTTATTATGTATCTGACAACAAACCTAGTTAATTTTAACACTTTTATATTCAAATTTTAAAAAGTAATTGTCTGTATTTAATAATATTATCAAGAAAACAAACCTGTCTGTAATCAACTGTAAATGCTCCTAAATAAGCTACCACGCCTGCTGACAATAACACATCACCGGTGATATTGATGTAAAGTTCACCAAGTGATTTAGCCGCTGCACTCCAGCGTTCTTTCTCACCGCCAAGACCACCAATAAGTTTTTCAGCACGAACCAATTTCTGAGAACAGATCTCAATGTTGCGCTCCAACTCTGCCTTCTTTACCATCATTGCATCAAATTCTGCATTCAAGGCATCCAGTTTATCGGTGATTTCCTTCAGCTGGGCTCTCTTGTCATTCAATTTTTCCATCTGCACGGCTAGTTCACCCTCAGCTTCTGCCAACTTAGCTTTCTTTGGAGCTACAATCTATGAGAAGTGTAACACAAAGTTAACACCATGGCATCTTTGAAATTATTAGGAGTGATGTTCAATCAAGTCAGCATCATGCTACGCAAGGAATTAGCAATATAACATAGTTAGCGAAATCGTACAAAAGTTGTAATTTCAGTGATGATAACTAACCTTTGCCACTCTATCGTAGACATCCATCGCTCTCACCCATTTACAGAGACCTTCACATGCCATAGATACATTACGGATTGATGTAGGATCAAACTCAGGATTAGGAATATAACTGAAAATACAAAAATAATGAATGAATAAGAATATTAAGAAAATTTATAAAAGAATGAATCGTTTTAATGTTTCAATTGGGTAGCAAAATAATAGTAATTGTAACTTACTTTGCTCTGATTTTCTTGATGTAAGCTGGCGGAATGTTATCTTTGTCATAAACCTTCAGACTTTCTAAGAATTTCATGTCACCGAGCACTTTCTGAGATGGGCCCCAAAAGTCTTCAATCATCTTGCCAGATCCAGATGGATCCGGTTTTCGCTCTGGTTTGACACCTTTCATGATACAAATAGCTTCCATCACCAGTTTCACACCAGATGGCGGATTCTGTAATGGACAAGAAAAAAAAACATAAAACGATTTGATAGGACAAAACTTATATATTTCAGCTCAACAAATTAAATGAAAAATTAACAACATCACACTGCGTTTTTAAAGTTTATTTTGAGTGAGATAAAATTGTAGCCACCAAAAGATATTCAGGTTTACCTATATTTTGTGTAAGGTAACAAAAGTAAAATTAAACAGCTTTTCTTTTTTCAGCCTTGAAAGATATATATTTATAGGAATCCATCCATGTTGTATTGCGCATTGACTTACTTTCATACTTTTCACCATGGAGATGTCATTGGGCTTGAGTGTATTGAGGGCAGATATGGCTGCCTCTAAAGCAGGTATTGCTTCTGCTAAATCCCCTTCACATTCTTCCTTAATTCCCTGGGCTACTCCAGCAGCTTCGTTAGCGACGGCTTCATCGGCTGCCACGATCTGTGAGAGAAATACAGTTTTTATTTGCAGTGAAAAACTTTGGTATTACCATTTACCAAAATAATGCTAATTTTATATCACTTTAATTTTCTCACCTCTTTTTTGGCTTCAACCTCCACAGTGTCCTGTTCTATTACCACCATCAGCTTCTCTGTCTCCTCTGAGGTCTTTATCAACTGCGGTTGGAGGTCAGTCAGCTCTTGCTGCATCACGGACACCTGAGATGCAGCGAAAGCCAGCTTATCAAGACCAGTGAGGTAGCGGTCTCTCAAGGTTATAACCTCTTTTCGTTTGATGGAGAGTAGCAATTTGAAGGTCAAGATCAACTCTAAGTAGGAGGTTGGGGTGACATAGTTGTGTCGCTGCAGAGTTTCAAAAAATCTGTAAGGAGTAAAATATTTAAAAGTAAGCGTAAATAATAAGGTATTTTTGATGAGAGAGAGCGATGAATGTTGGAAGCTAATGGAAAATTTAGATACTCCCGGTACTTACAACTCTGACAGCTTGCGAACACTTTCGTGAAAGTGTTTACACATGGCTACTGATGCCTTCCGTATGTCATCATCAAGGTCAATTTCTTCTAAAAATTTATTGGCCACCATCTCTAAAGCATCTTGTGGCCAAGCCTGCAAGAATTGAGAACATGATTTAATTGCATGAAAGGTACAGGTCACAGAATGAAATCGACAAAACAGCCACACGACAATCATCTGTCGTTGCTTTCCATTTCTTTCCTGTATACAGTAACGTTTCAGTACATAATATGAACAAATATTCAATTTAATAAAGCAAAGCCCCAATTTACCTGGAACCAGTCAATGGTGCAGCAGTTGATCAAAGACGGGAATTGACGTAACCTGTTACGGAATGCATCACCAATCGGTGAGAATGCCAACACAACGTGGAGATGAGCTCTGACTCGCTCAATGAAAAAATTGTACATTGCTAAAGGTGTGGCATCAATCTTTTTACCCTAAGTGGAGAAAAGAAGAAATTGTGAATTATGTAAATAAGGCTCATCAAATATGCAAACTAACCACATATGTCAGTTAAAGCTGGACAGGTGAAAAACAAATTACTATTTACAACGACACCATCATCATGATTACGAATTTAAATTTGTACAAACCTCATTCCTGGCTACAGTCTGCATTTTCTCAATAATTTCTGCTTTCTCATCAGCAGGGAATAAATTAGGAATATCAGCAGTGTTCAAAATCATATTGATGTCTTCAACAAAAGATTCATCTTTTATCTGATTATCGCTGAACAAAAACACAGTCTGTTTACCTTCAGCACCAGTCTTCACCATCAACTGTATTGACAAATCAAAACAAATGAAACAAGTCATTGTCAATGACACGTCCCCGTTCCGTTCATATTTGAGTGACATATACATTCAAAGCAGATCATGACCGAAATGCACCTGCATATGTACAACACATTGTGCTAAATCTGAACAAAATCCATCCATGCATGACTGAGATCCGGTTCTGGAATTGTGAAAATACGTGATTTTGATGCATTTTCGGCCTTAAAATGGCCGCTATTCGGCTATCGTTAATTGGATCATGAAAAAAATGCATGTGCATATGTCCCATATAATGTGTGATGTATGAGTGAAGTTTGAACTTAATCGGTCCATGCATGTTCGAGATACAGGTGATCAAGGACGCACGGACGCACGGACACACGGACACACACAGGGCAAAACATAAGTCCCCGTTTTCGGACTGCGTCCGAACGAGGACTAAATATTCAATTAGTAAAATTCCACCATTGTTCGCATTGTGATAATTTTTATAAATATCAGGTATGTATATATCTGCATTGTCAAATGTCAACATGTGGTAACATGCTTGCCAAACCTCAAGTTTGCAGTGCCTTGCAGAGAAACTACTAAGCTGTGAACGTCACTTTCAAATAACTGCTGTGACTCAATATTTTACCTTTTTGATGTCTTCTCTCCATTCAGAGTGTGTATAATTCTTGGTAATTTCAATCTGAAACAAGTCATAGTCGGCCATGAAAGTGGCCAGCTTAGTGGCACTCTGTCTGCCACTACCACCAATACCTGCAATGATAGAAATAAAAACAATGAAGAAAACATTTTTAATTTAAAGAAATTATGTCAAACTTGATTTGAGCTATTAATTTAGCCCTGATCTAATAAAAAAACTAGCTCTGCATACATGGTAAAACTTGTGTAAAAATCAGATAGATGTCTTGCACACTTAGAGTATATCAAATTTAAAAGTGTAGCGTAGTGTATTTACCGCATAAAGTCAACTTACCTATCAACAGCGCATGTCCATTGTCCTGTTTGAGCACACGACTCACACGAGATATGTGCTCAATTGCAAATTTAAACATGACCAGAGACATTGGTGTTTTACTCATAGCATTGTACTCATCCAGATAGTGCTCCATCACTGTGGTCAACTCCTTGATGTCCACGACCTCATCATAGATTTTGGTGTCGGAATCTGGATTCATATAGTCACCAAAAAATAAACTCCTGAAATCAAGAAAGGTTTGTAAATCTGCATGAGATTCGGGATTTTGAGTGAATTATACAAGAAAGTAAACAGCTTCCATGTAGGATTGATTCATGCACACCACGAGGTAACATGTACTCACCTAATGTTGTCATCTATGACTTTCCCACTCGGTGAGAGATGACTGAGTATCTTGTCAATGCTAACTTTGAAGTGTGACTGTGTCATCTCCTTTATAATGTCAAAGAAGGTTTCCCTACAAAATACAAAGACAGAAACATTAGTATTGATGGCATACATTATGTAGACTGTTGAAATATAATGCATAATTGTAATAATCTGTTTAAGGCAGATGCTGCACAAAGCTAGTGATGACTTCTCCTCACACAAGTTACCGAATTATTCAAGAATAGACAAAAAACAAATCACTTCACAAAGATTTACACATTCTCACCTGTCTTTCTCATCAATCAGACGGTCATAAAACACCCTGTAGACTTCATGGATCCAGAGACGAGTCAATTTATCACCCTCAGTTAAGTGGGTATGGGGCATTAGTAAAACACCGCGGATCACACGGGCAAAGTCTCGAAGATTGAACACATAGTGAGATTTTGTCGGTGTTGGTAAGAAGTTATCTACTGCACTTTTGTAGACAGCCATAGTGGCTTGTACTAGGATCTGAAAGTAAAAGAAAAGTGTAAGCTGATTTGCAGGGAATGTGAGAATGTGATTGTCAAAGTAAATGGCATAAAAAAAAAACAGTGAAAAAGTTTGTACATCATTAGGCGAAAATAAAGATCTGTATCTGGTTCAATTTTTTTTTTAAATGATGTGGTGATGCAATTTTTTTTCTATGAAACATCAAGAAAGTAGATCTGCACATGCATGAACAAGATATTGTGATAACAGTAACATATTTCTTTGTTTTTTCTCCTTTGTTTCAAATCTTATTGTTGTTTTGCCTTATCATGTTTACTATCATCTAAAGTCATTTTTAAATGTTAGGTAAATTGATGTTCTTCTGTATACTAGTACGTCATCAATTCATCAAAAAGCATTTTCTTTTGCTACATGAAAGAATTGAAAGTTTGCAAAAGTAACAGATATTTAAAAGTGAAAAATGAAGCTTAATAAAAAAAGTTTTAAACAAGAGAGAACTTACCTTGCCAAGTCTAACAAATGAACCTTCAAATCCTTTGCCAAAATGCCAATCCACAATAGAGCTGAATATTTTCGTCATTGTTGTGTCATCAAATGAGTCTATAGATACGATATTCATATGTCGTGTGAATCGACTCGTTATATCATTTCTACCACCACCGGGTGGTCCCATGGCAGACACAAGTAGCTGGTGAAACAAACAGAAAACCATATATTATTTGAGAATTATTAGAAGGAGTTACCGTAGTCATGTGCCAATGCTCCTTCAACGCTAATGTACCTCCCTCCTCCCTAGAAAGAGAAACTGATAAATCATATAGCTACCAAGATCCAAGTTCACTACCGGTATCTAGTATGAGTATATAGTTTGATCTATTGGATCGACAACTAAGCCTTTGAATAAAGTATTTAAAGTTGTGATGTCATTGAAATAATTTCTCAAGGAATTTGTTCATGTAATAAATTTCCTAAATTTCTATATTGCCCGTAACTCAAAGTTATGTTAACTGTTAATTGAACATTGAGTTACAATTTAGGTGTGGTTTCACAGAAGTAGGCGTGGTCTCTAAAATATTTTTTGTAACACGCTGTATTCACCATTCCATCATTTCTATTTCTAGTAAGATCTTGTACATTATTTGTGAAAATACTATAATTGCAAATCTGATCAGTGTCAAAATGCAACTAAAATGAGGATCTACTACATAACTGAGTAACAATACAAATCGATGTACAGTAGATATGAACACTTACTACATCTGTTAGTTCTAGTTTTGTGGTGTCCTTCTTGTCATACCAATGACCATGATCCACCCACTGACGCAGTAATTCGATCGGTGGCTGCGCTCCATATTTCTCCTTCGCGGGCATGTTCAAATCATCCACAAATAGGATACATTTCTTACCCATTGGTGGTCCATATACACCCTTACGACGTCTGGCAACAAAGACAACAATCAAGGTGTTAGAGACAAAGTGGTGTTATAGATTTTTACGCAGAGGACCATTGAAGGTTATGTTACCATACATGAAACAAACCAAAATTAATCCGAAAACTTTAAGAAAGCCATAAATCAAAATATTATACAGCCACCATGAAATAAGTTGTGAAAAAATTTCTTTAAAAGTTAAAACGTCATAATATTGGTCCCATACGATACACACAACAAATAAAAAATTGTAATTTTTGTAACAGAATTGGGATAGAAAGTAATGTTTTCTTACCTGTCTAGTTTAGACATTATAATATCTTGACTTTGACTGGCTGATGTACGTGCTGAGAAGTTCACCATGTTGGGGATATACCTGACAGGAGAAATCACATATAATGAAGTCATCACAATGTTATTACAAGACTATTCATAATATTCATAACGATTCATAATATCATCTCTCAAAGACAAGATACTTACAAGTCTTTCGGTAAGCTGACCAGGTACGCGTTGATAATGGCTGATTTACCAGTACCAGTAGGGCCAACAAACAAAAGCGGCACCTCATGATCCAGATACGTCTTCATGAAGAATGTCTGCCTTGCCGTCTCATTGGTTGGGATGATCAAGTCACTCACCTAGATTGAGTAAAAAATCCATATAAGGGATGGCAAGAGTGATAACTTATGACCTTTCAACTTTGACCCGCTACAGAGTACAAAACCCTTTCCTTACAGCTAAAAGACATACATGTAATAGCATTCTCCATGCACAATTCCACATACAGGACAGGGTTTTGTAATTTTTTTCATGAGCCAAATCTAATCCATAGCGGTAATTTGGATATGACCTCCAAACCAAAGTCAAGTGTCAGGCATGGTCAAAGGTGAAAGGTAACATACAGTACAGAGTGCTGTAAATAGAAAGGGCATTAACATGATCTACATGTGATTCTGTACATTACCAGGACTGAGATACATGCAATAAGAAAGGGTTGACCTTTAACCCTGGGATACCATGGCAACCACCATGCAGACTTTATCTCTAAAAAGGGGAAGTGAGTGAATGAATAGATTGTGAAATGACAAAGGTATAACTATCTACATGAATTGGGGTTTATTTAATTGTAAATGTTTTAAAAATTAAATTATGTTATTTTATCACTATGTCAGTCGTTTCACAGAGAAAAATCAAAACAATGCATGTTAACACTTTGTTTTATTAAAAACAAAATTAAATAAAAAACAGGTTGTGAAACATCTTTGTGTTCATCATACCCAGTAGAAACATGCATTCAATTTTCAGTCTGTGAAACGACTGATATGACACATAATTTAAGTTAGTACTTGGTTGAAAGTGTGAATTAATATGAAGTGAAACTTTAGTTTTATACTTTAAGTTTACTTTCAAAAAAAAAAAAAATTTCTATTTTGCTGTTTTCTCTACTAACTGATATGTTAACTTGAAACGAGGTACTCTGACCAGGTCGTGGTAAACCTTGGTATGGTAGACCAACTGGGAAGTTGTTCTGTGGCAGAACCAAAGTAGAGGTTAAACAAACCACACATTGAGGTTAAGCAAAGAGAGAGAAAAAAAAAAACAAATTCATAAGTTAATGTTAATATGCAAGCGCACACACACACACACACACACAAAACAGTTAGCATTAAAAAAACTGAACCCTCCCACTGCTGTTATTATATCCGGATCAAGATACTAAACCAGTTACCGTAGTCAGATTCACTAACTGGTTAAACCAGTTTAATCAGGTTAAATTGTTTGTTAGTCTGTGATAAAACAATAAACAGCAGAGGAAGGATGACAATATATATATTTTTTTTATCATAATACCCACATGCCGTACTTGCTCTATTTAGAAGCACATCTCTAATTGAAGAGCACATAAACCAAAAATTGCATTTATTATATACTTGCTATTAAAATATGACTAGATTGTTGACAAACATCTCATTTATGTAAGCGCATTTAATGGAGAAAATATGATACTGACACAGATGTTGAAACATACACAATGAAATTAACACTTAAGGTGAAAAGTACAGCAAAGGAGTATTCAGAGTTATGGATTTTATAAACATGGAGTTTATTTAGTATAGTGGAAAAAAGGGGTCTGTTTAAGTTATACGGAATAAGGAGTAGGAATTACATAATGTAGACTAGGAAGTTCATAGTTGTTGTTCCTATTATGCGTAACAAAGGGCAAGGTCCTACATGAGATAGAGTTTTTCCAGGCAGGGTTGTTACACTGAATTTATTACTGTAAAATCTGTATTAGAAGCAGTTTCTCTGATAGGAGCCACACCCATATCATTAGAACAATTGAAAATCACAAATTCACCACTTCTCATATGTGTAGATGCTCTAATAGAAGCCACATTCATTCTGTTGCATTAAACCATTTCAATAGAAGCATGGCTTCTAATACAGATTTGTCATTAGTAGGATTTGAGGTATCAGCTAAAACAGGGTAGGTAGGATGTTTGCATATTAAATAGAATAGGATATTTTATATATTATTATATAAATATAAAGGGATAAATATAATGAAGCAGGCGTAAATCAATGCATTCTGTTGTCAGCTCATGTACGCACAACTCAAAACACAACCCACAGCAAAACCAAACAAGGTTATGTGTTCATAGGTTTAACAATGCCCAAACATGCTCCAACATCACAGCAAAGTAAATACTGCCCCCTACAACAAAAGACATCCTTCTGGTGGTGGCAAATAGTTAGTTTCACATTAGTTTTTTATAGCATTGCCTACTTCAGCCAATTTCTTAAGCCATACTTTTGCACTTACCTTTGCCTTGGCTGGAATTTCTAATTTTCCCACCCCCCTCTCAATATAGTCAATCCAGTCTGCCCACTGACCACTGGCGTGTTTGTAGAAATAAAAATCATAGACGGTACCACGTTCTGGGAATGAATTGCTCTGGAAAATACAAAATATTTTTCAGAATTCAGGATTTGTTATTCAATATTTCGGATAAATTATTTAAAATCAATTTACAACAAATTTATTTACCTTTGTAATCTTGATACTCTTAGGTTTTGGGTGTTCCTGGACTGTGCCACTGATAAGAGTTCTGAAGTACTGATCAAACTTGATTCTTCCATTACCGTCCACAGTACCACCAATGGTCCAGACGAGTGAAAAGAGAAACAAACCCTGCAGCCACAATGTAATCTGAAAAGGTGGAGATAAAGAAAAAAATAAATAGAAATTCAACAACAAAATGTTAAGAAATACCATGATTTGAATGTGATTTTACCCAAAAAAAATGCACATGCAGCAATGCTTTGTATAACAAGCTTTCTGATTTGTTAATAACCAGTCACATGCACAAAGTGCATTCTATTTCAACCAATGGGGATACTGGGAAGAAATAATGATAAAAGGCAACTGCACACAAGGAATCTCTTCACATTTGTGTATATAAGTTCCAATAATCCATTTATAAAAAAATTTAATTAAAAAATTACTTAAAAATTGCATCTTATAAGTATAAAGCAAGCCAATAGAAAAAAAACAAACAAACAGAAAGTTGCAGAGAAGTAAGTATAGGAATCGGTGCATATTTTACTCAATAACAAATACATCACATATCAATTGCATTATTAAAAACGTGTTGATAATTTACATCACTGCAAACCGTTACTACCCCCCGAAGCATTGAGTACATACCGTCTACAACAATACCATATGAAATAGAAGCATAGGGAATAAACGGATTAGATTCAGAACATGAGATATTGGGATTGAATAAAACATGCAAGAGTTTTATCAGTTCAGATCAGGGCATACATTCCTTTCTGCTACACCTTAAATACTCCTTTATTCAATACACATTTTTACTAATACTCAACTTTAATATTCCAGCAGTGTTTCTGTGACAACCACAGCACTATTATTCAGTTCCAACCTCTCTCTCTACCCTCTAAATCCACAACATATTTAATAATAAAATTTGTATACAGCCCCTGGGTATCACCTTGGGAAACCCTGCATTTGCACAACCTTACCTGTTGATTGGTCAGCCCTCCTTCCTGACCTTCTTTGCCACTTTCTCGAATTTCATCCATAAGGCAGGAGTACAGACTCATCAGAGACTTGGCAAGATGGATATCAGAGGTCTGTATAAAATTCTTGCACTCAAACCTTACAAAATCTGAGTCACACAACAAAAAAACAACAAAATTTAAATAGTTTTTAATGAATTTAATTAACTACATGTACACTAGTTGCATGGGACCCATAACAATGTAAATTGTGTGAGGTATTCTACTCTTCAAAAAACATTTTCCGAGCAACACATTTTCGCCATTTAATAACTTAAAACATAATGAACAACCCTTAGCAGTGCAACCAATTCATTAATTATATTTGAAATCAATTTTGCTACTTGAGTAAATAAAGACACTCACCAAGACACGGCTGGACCAGCCAGCTAAACAAATCTTCCACCAGCTCCAGCTGTTCCTGAGTCAGGTTCTCTGGTAATGTTTTCATGTAGGAGTCTTTGGAAGGAATCCACCCAAGCTGATGTGGCTCCATGTAGATCATACCACATCGACTGACAGTGGCTGGAGAAGCTTGTTCTAGATCAGCCGGTTCAAAAATCAGATTCATTTTATTGTTCATCTGGATAATCTCACCACTCATCAGACAGAGCTTAAAAATAAGGTGTCAATTGACAATTGGTTAAGGAGTCTTAGTCTATCACATTACATTTCTAGGAACTATAATTGGCCATCAGGGTGTATATAATAAATCATGCAATATATATCTCCTCATTCTACTCATCATAGACACCTCCCTCAAAATTTACCTTTTTGTTGTCATCCAACGCTGTATTCATGTTTTCAATCCAGACAGCGTCCACAGGTCCGTCAAACATAATCCACTTCCTGTCGTCAGTGGTAGAGCTTGCTTGCTCTCTGAAAGTATTGGCCAGCACACCTGATATGAGAAAAATGATTTGAATCCTTAAAGCGTAGTGGTTGTTGCACAGCGCGTGTTCAAATTTCATATAAATAAACAATGTATTTTACACGTGTTGTATACGTCGCTATGAGTCTCATATCGAACAGGATGCGGCATGACGACTGTCGCCCTTTAAGTACATAATTTTGAACTACATCCCTCGGACATAATAGCAAATTAAGGAGGCCAATCTCAATGTTCCCATATACTTCAAGAGTAACTCCAATATCTTTGCAGAATATCCTTTATGGAAAAGTTCTATAAACACAAAAACATTTTTGAAAAGAAGTTTTACCACAATTGTACTTACCATCAGACCATTCATGAGATACTGGATCAAATGATCCATACAACTGTCCCATAGTGATGGCTTTGGGATTGATAATCTTGTAAATAACCTTGTATTCTTCCATTAAACCTGCTGTATGTAGATCTCCTAGGGCACATGCAAGTACTTGCCAGTTGCACGTTTTACCTCCCAGTGGTTCGCCGACTATCATAAAACCGTGACGCACCAACATCATTTCGTAAACCTGCCAAATTACATATTAAATGAGTTATATTGTGATTACACCAAATTCTCATATTTATTTATTTATTTATTTATTTATTTATTTATTTATTTATTTATTTAATTATTTGTTTGTTCGTTTGTTTGTTTGTTTGTTT